TTTTTAGTGCTAAACCCCTTGATATCAAGAGTTGAGCTGATTTGAACTTTATAAGAGAGAAAACTCTTATAGCGTCTATCTTTTTATTCACAAAACTCAAATTCAAGTCCTTATTTAAGAAAAATTGAGTTCCTTTCGCTCAAATTAACAAGTCATTAGTACTTTTTATCTTATCTTTTAAAAATAATTGTTATTTCCATCTAAAAAAATGTGATAAATCTCAAATATTTATAATGAAAAAATTAATGGTTAGAATTTTATATTAGTGTGTAAGTTGATCATAACTCATGATATCAATCATCTCTCTATTATGAATAATTAAGATTTATCCAATTTTTATTCTATTTTGTAAAAATTAATTGTCTTTTTATTTCATAATAAAAAATAAATAGATTAAATCAAACCCTAGCCCAACCTCTAATCAGGCCCAATAGCCAGGATAACCAAACAGAAACTTAGACCCCAACTCTATCTCAATCCAAGCCCAACCCTATCTTAAGCCCAGACAACCAAACTCTGTAAGAAAATGATGAACATTTGAGAACCTTCTGGGTGTTCAGAAAGATAATCAAAAGTGGAGGCTTTCTTCAAATTTCAGATGGAGTGAGCTTAGTCACGGGTCTAAATAGAGGAAAAAGAAACAAAGAATTTTTTTATTTGTGCCTTAGATATAAGTTAAAAGTATATGTATTAAATTTTTTATCATTAATTTACATAAAAAATTAATTTTAATTTTATTAATCTTTTTATTAAATCATTTCACCGGATGGTTTATTAAGTTTTTTTTTTGTTTAAATTAATAATAAAAATATATAATAAATATACGATAAAATTGCATTCCCTTGTTTACATCAATTGGTGACCACTGTAGCTCAACAAGACTACCTATGGATTACACTCCTAAGCAATGGTGGAATTTTGCCATGAATAAGGTAATAACCTAACTACCTTCTAACTTCTAATCATTGTTGCTCTTATGAAAAAAAAAAAATCATAAAATTGTTCCTAAAAGTTCTTCAATGGCCTGGGAACTCTATATCATGGATTACCTTTGTCCGACAGCCGCCTGGAGCAGAGGAGTAGGCTTTTTCAGGGTGAAATCCTGTAGGTGGACATCTCTAGATTTACTGAGTTTGAGAGGGGACAACTAGGGCTCAGATTTGAGGGATATAAAGAGGCTTATATGTCCAGATTTCAAGCACTGGAACTGAGGGACAAATCTGGGCATGCCATCCTGCCATAGATTTTGTCATATTCAGTTTGTACCAGAACTTTATCCATAAATGAAGATCATCTCATTCAATGTGTGAGGTTTGGGTTTCTTTGCAAAATGGAGTTGCTAATATTTAGTGCAAAAGGAGCAAGCAGATTTTGACAAAGATGGAATTGATTGATGAGTTTATTTGCAAATCAATTTGTGACAAAGATATTAATTACTTAAATAGTTCAATAATTATCTTTTTTTCATTAGAGGTAAAGATTGGACGGTGTACGTGAGGTTTCTGTGGGTAAATCTGGTGGGCTGCCCTGTGTTGGAACTCAGACAAATTTAAGTGGTCTAAAGTGTTTGAAAGACGATGACATCTCGGTGCGGTGGGGATGCAAGGTTTCCGCAAAACAAAAATGGGGAAATTATAAATTAGGTATTTGCGATTTGACGTAAATAAAATTGAAGGTTTTATGTGTATATGATATATTTGCTGCGTGGTTGGAGACCGTGGCATAAAAAAATTGGGGTTTTTAAATTTTTAAATTAATTTTTTAGATTTTTTTTTTGTTTTCCTTATTTTTTTTTTTTTTTTTCCTTGTTCTTAAAACTTAGGCGTTTGTTTTTTACCAAATTGTTTTAAGATTTTTTACTTTTTTGTTGTTGTTTCTGGATTAATTTTTTTTTTTATGTTTATGGATTGAGTACTTCTTATATTTTTTTAATAAAATTATTTCTTTTGACTTTTCAAAAAAAAATTTATATGAAATATCTTAAGTACTTTTTTTTTTCTTTTTATTCTTTCAAGTTAAGAAGTTTTAAGACATTTCAAGTAATTATTTGCATTTAATATAAATCTTAAATGTTTATATATATGTCTTATGTGCACATTAAAAATTCAAATCTTTATATACATTGACCTCAAATCATTAATAGCTAAATCCTCAATTTTCCAACAAAATTTAAATTTGCATGTGGTGAGCAAATTCCTCTTCCTTCTCCTAAAGCAAAAATTAAGATGGAGAAATTGCCAATCGAAAGAAGCAGGTTAAAAATTAGAGAAGAGCTTGTACTGTTTAAAAGTGAAATTTTGAATATATATATATATATTTGAACAGGATAATTAAGAAAAATGAAAAATTAGATCCATGAGACTAAAACATGAGTCTATAAGAGGTAAATCCCTACTTACACCAAGGGTGAAGGCTACTAAACCGAGCATGGGGATCTGAAAATTTGAATATTTTATGCTAACAACTTTTTGTGAAATTTAGGTATAATCTTTAACCTGTGCATAACATCATTTGAGAGTGGAATTTTAATGTTTCCCCGGCTACCATGGGTACCAGTATGCCTTGCTAATTTTCATGTACTCTGGTGCAGGTCATATCTGCAACTCTGATTCCTTATCACAGACACAAGGACTCTATTCCCTTTACTGCCTTTTTGAAACTCGACCATTCAAAACTCCTCTCAATTTGTATCTCTCTCAGTAAGTTCGGCACTTTGATTTATCCACAAGTCTTGTCAACAAGATGCTCCCATCAAACTTTTCTAAATTCCTTTTGAATGTTGTCCAACATGCAATACAGATCATCTACGCTTTGGCTTTATAGATTAAAATTTGTCTTGTGTTCCCATCCTTTTGTTAGATCCAGTGTTAAAATAGAGAATATGGTGATATGTTGAGTTCATAACTAACACCAACGTGGCTTTTGTTCCAATGTTAAGAAGTATTGGAATATAATATGTAAATATTAGATCTGATATAATACAAAAAGCCTACATTCGTTGTTCTATCCAGTTGCAAATGCATCGGAAAATTTATTATGGTCTTTTCTGTCTAGTTATATTTCTTTTGTGATGAACAATGCTAAAATTTTGTAATCCTCCATGTGGCCCAATGCTGGCCACGCTATCCATTAAACAACATGTGAAATGCACCCAATTTCAAAGTTCAACCTTTCTACATAACAACAAATACTAACACTTAATATAACAATTTCCTCTTGTTAGAAAAAAAAAAAAAAAAACAATGCTAAAATTCTTTTTGTTTTTGTTATTAATGTGACTCTAATTTACAAAATCTAAAATTTTGCTATAAAGTTGACTTTTTCGATATAACTTATATGAAATTTATAGTTCAATAATCTCTTTTTTGAAGATCCCATTTAATTTTAGAAATTGTCAAAAATTTAGGACATGTTTAAAATATTTAGACTGATATTAAGAAAACTTAAATAATCTTAATAAATTAACATATAAAAAAGATTTATTAAAAATATTTAAACAATTTTACAAACAATCTTTGCTTTTTAGATCTTAATATGTCTTGATTTTCACTTCTCTCTTAACTTAAATTCTTAAATTAGTATAATTGACTATGAATGCTGAATGATTAAAAGTAATGATTGGAGGGTAAAACACTAAAAGTGTTTATCCTGGCAATGGTCTTGAGTGCACCAGGGTTCTCTTCTTCTGGTCTTCCTGTTTAGTTTCCTTTTGCTCCTTATATAATAAGAGAACTGGAGAGACTGAAAGTCCTTGTTGAAGATCAATGCAAAAGCTAAACATATATGAGTAGTACCAGCTCTGGTAAACTGGCCGGATGCTAGATCAAAAACATGTTTCTTTGGGGATTGTGAAGTTAAATAAAGGCTTTGTTAGTGAGACAGTTAAACAGCTTGAGAAGTTTGAAGGGGTGTTTGTTTTGATTTATTAAAAATAATTATTAGTTATTTATTTTAATCAAATATATTAAATATTTTAAATTATAAATACTAATAATTATATGTCATTAGATATTATTAATATTAAATATTTCAAAAAAATTAATTTAAACAACCTATTAAAATACTTACATAAAAGTTGCAAATGATAGGCATGCTGGTATTTATCTTTTTTAAAAAAAATAAAAATTTATCTATGTCATTCAATAGGTTGAAGTATTAATTTAATCATCAACTTTTAGATTTATATTGAAAATATTCTTAAATTAATAGCTTTTGTATTTTAATTTTTGGCACTAAAACGAAACCTTTATTTTATATATAAAAGTTGAGGGACTAAATTAATACTTTTCATTTGCGTTTTTTATTTGTAATGTTTAGAAATAAGAAAATGAAATATTAAAAATCAAGTCTAGTTTCTCATTAAACAAAAAAGTTGAGTCTAGTTTGAAAAGTGAAAAATTTTAAAAGGAAACAAAAATATAAAATCTTTTATATTTCAACTAAAAACTAAAACTGAAATAATTTACTTGATAATTTTGAATCCCAAATTGATACTTTAATGAACCTTTTGGTTCTATAACAATAATAAACCGATATTTTCTATTACATGAAATATTAGTTCAATGAGTTATATTTAATTTTTATATTCTAATTAATTAATAAGTAGTGGGTCCTA